GCAACACAAAACAGACTAATACACAGTGTAAACACAAATCCCTGTTGCGGTTCCATTCAACTCTACAACTCAATCACCAGGGAGATATGTTATTAAATTTTTCTCTAATTATAAATGGCTGTCAGAATAGCTCATTAAGAACTGACGTATATTGAGTAACATCAGCAAAATAGTGAATAGAAAGTTCCAAGTTCTTGTTCCAAATGAAAACATTAACAACAACAACAACAAAAAGACAGTAACTGGCTAAACTAACCTTGTAGGAGCTCTGGAAACCAGTCCAAGGTTTACAGCAGCCAAGCTATAAACACCCAATCACCCAATCAAGAAAAAGCTTCAAAGTGGTAGTAAAAAAGCTTTGTGGCAGTCTTAACTTGCCCTTGCCCCACTATCTCAGAAGTTTTTGTCTGGAGGATGCAGCAGCTCAATTCCTAGTTCCCTTCCTTCAACTGGAGGGAGCAGAGCAAACCTTGTTTACAACATTCTAACTTGTCTGGGGGAAGACTAAAGGACTAATCTCTGTTTTGCCTAAGTTGAATCTCAGACAGGGCAAGCAGCTGGCACTGCTCATGAAAGCTGCAGAGAGACTACAGACTTGCTGAAGCCTGGGGCAAGATATCATGAATGGAGACTTACAATAGACTGTGAGGGTGAGATTCTTTGGGAAATTAAGATATTCTAAAGCAGCTATGTATAGGGGTGTAATGAGTTTTCATAATTTTATGTTGCCTAAGCATCTTAAATATAAGTTTAACTTCTGGGCCGGCCCGGTGGCGCACTGGATAAGTGCGCCGCTTGGGAAGCACGGCAGCGCTCCCGCCCGAGGGTTCGGATCCCACATACAGACCGGTTCCCGCTCACTGGCTGAGCGAGGCGCGGGAGCAACACCGAGGGTTGCAATCCCGTTGCCGGTCCCCGGTCCGGTACGGGGGCAACACTGAGGGTTGCGATCCGTTGCCGGACACGGAAAAAGATAAAAAAGACAAAAAAAAAAACTTCTTAATATCAGAAGCAGGGCTCAGTCACCATTAACACAGTTTATAATACTATACCCCCACCCAAGTGGCTCCAGCAAGTAGTCAGAGATAAAAAGTTACAGGCATCTCTCCCACCTAGCAGGCTGAGTGCTCCACTTTCCCAATGCTTCCTTTAAATGGACCATTCAAACATTTGTCCATGAATTTAAAGTGACCGCTTCTCAGTCACAGAGTAACCTCCTAGAACTAGTGTCTACTTGATTTAAACCCACAAACTAAAGCCTCCCATGAGAAACCTGTTTGGATAATGCCCTGGACCAAATAAAGGTGTTGGCACACTGGTCCCTTCTGTCTCTTCCTGCCTTCACTCCCTGACCTCTATGTGTGTAAACTCCAGGTGTGCCATGTATCCCCCAGGGTCTGTAAGTACAGAAAACTCTTAAACTTTCACATTGTGATTGTGTCATTGAAGCCATGCCCACAGTCTGACCCCTGATGGCAAAGCCACCCCAAAAAGACCCATGCAGGTGAGTTTCCTGCTCTTTTTTCTGGGCCTCTAGTGGCTGCTAGGGACAGTAGCTACCAGCTAAGTTGATAGAGAAATTCAATGAGTTTCATTCAAAACAACAGGGTAATAGAAAAAGCACCATGCAGACTCAGGCAAGATACATGCTCAGAAAATTCCTGAGAAGACTTTAAGCCTCCTCCTTGGACTGAGGTCTAATCTCAGAGCAAGCCTAGCTAATCTGTGAAGGATTGCCTCAGCATAGAGCCAGTCTGCAAAGACTAGGAGAGGTGGATGTTTTTCAAATGCCCAGTTTTCAACAAGAATGGCAAAAAAAAAAAAAAAATCACAAGACATACAAAAAGATAGGAAAACATGGACAAAGAACTAAAGGAAATCAGAAAAATTATATATGAATAAAAAGAGAATATCAACAAAAAGACAGAAATTATAAAAAAGAACCAAACAGAAATTCTGAAGGTGAAAACTAAAGTAAGTGAAATAAAAAAATTCACTAAAGAAGCTCAGCAGTAAATTTGAGTGGGTAGAAGAAGGAATCAGCAAACTTTAAGATAGGATATTGAAATTATTGAATCTGAGGAGCAGAAAGAAGAAAAGAAGGAAGAAAAGTGAGAGAGCCTAAGGGACCTGTGGGACCTGATCCAGCAGACCAACACACACATTGTGAAGAACCCCAAAGGAAAAGAGAGAGGGGAAGGACAAGAGAGATTATTTGAAGAAATATTGCCAAAAACTTCCCAAATTTGACAAACTACATAAATCTACAAATCTAAGATTCCCAACAAACCCCAAGCAGGATAAACCCAAAGAGACTCACTTTAAGACACACTACAACCAAACTGTAGAAAGACATATATGATACCTTGAAAGCAGCAAGAGAGAAGCAACTTATCACATACAAGTGATCTTCAATAAGATTATCAAATGACTTCTCAGCAGAAACTTTTGAGGCCAGAAGGCTGTGGGATGATATATTTAAAGTGGTGAAAGAAAAAAGTGTCAACCAATCTGGAAAACTGCCTTTCAAAAATAAGGGAGAAATTAAGACATTCCCAGATTTTAAAAAAAGCTGAGAGAGTTCATTACCAGTAGATCTGCCATACAAGAAATGTTAAAGGAGTCCTTCAGGTTGAAATTAAAGGATTCTAGAGGACATGATTTTGTATACGGAAAATCCTAAGGAACCTACCAAGAAACTATTAGAACCAATAAACAAGTTCAACAAGGTTGCCAGTTATAAGATCAATATACAAAAATAATTGTATTTGTATAAACTAATAATGAACAATTTGAAAATGAAATTAAGAAAACAAATCCATTTATAACAGTATTTTAAAAAGAATAAAATACTTAGGATAAATTTAACCAAAGAAGTACAAGACTTGCACACTGAAAACTATTTAAAAAATTATTGAAAGAATCAATGGAAGGCCTACATAAATGGAAAGATACCCCATGTTCACTTATTGGAAGATTTTATATTATTAAGATGGCACTACCCATGTCAAAACCCTAGCTGGCTTCTCTGCAGAAGCTGGCAAACTGATTCTAAAATTTATATGGAAATGCAAGGAACCCACCGCCAAAACAATCTTGAAAAAGAAGAAAAAAAATGGAGGATCTACTTTCCCAATTTCAAGACTTACTATAAAGCTACAATAATCAAAATAGTATGGTACTGGCCTAAAGGTAGAAATATAGATCAAGGGAATAGAATTGAGACCCCAGAAAAAGATCTTACACTTACAGTGAATTGATGTTGACCAGAGTGCCAAGACAATTCAATGAGGGGTGGAAGAAGGGGTGTAAAAATCATCTTTACAATAAATAGTTGTGGGATACTTGGATATTCATATGTAAAAAAATTAAACTGGACCCCTACTTCACAGCATATATAAAAATTAACAGAAAATGGATCAAATATCTAAATGAAGGAGCTAAAACTATAAAACTCTTAGAAGAAAATATAGTAGTAAATCTTTGTGACCTCAGGTTAGGCAATGGTTTCTTACATATGCCACCTAAAGAACTAACAATAAAAGAAAAACGTAAATTAGACTCATCAAAATTAAATTTTTTTCTGTTTGAAAGGACCTCATCAAGAAATTAAGAAGACAACTCATAGAAGGGGAAAAAATATTTATAAATCATATATCTGATAAGGAACTTGTACTGAGAATATACAAAGAACTCTTGAAGCTCAACAATAAAAAGTAAAATTTAATTTAAAAATTGGCAAAGGATGTAAATAAACATTTCCCCAAAGAAGATATACAAAAGGCCAAAAAGCACATGAAAGACGCTCAACATCATTAGTCCCTGGGAAAATGCAAACCAGAACCACAATGAGATACCTTCCACCCACTATGGATGGCTATAAGCAAAAAGATGGACAATAAAAACTGTTGACAAGGATATGGAGAAACTGGAATGAAAACTACTGGCAGGAATGTGAAATAGTTCAGCTACTCTGGTAAAGTCTGGCAGTTCTTCAATAAGTTAAACATAGCATTACCACATGAACCAGAATTTCACTAGGCATATATCAAAGAGAATTGAAATCTATATCCACACAAAAATGTGTACCCATATATCCAGCATTATTCCTAATAACCAAAAAGTGGAAACAACCCAAATGCCCATCAACTGATACATGGATAACAAAAATGTGGTATATCCATCCAGAAGAATATTATTCAGCTATAAAAAGAAATGAAGTACTAACAAATGCTATAACATGGACAAATCTGGAAAACACGATGCTAAGAGAAAAAAATTCAGATACAAAAGGCCACATATTGTATCATTATATTTATATAAAATGTCCAAAATAGGTAAATCCAAACAGACAGAGTAGATTAGTGGTTGCCAAAGGTTGGGGGAAGGTAAAAATAAGGGACTGGATGCTGACTACTAATGAGTATGAAGTTTCTTATAGGAGTAATACAAATGTCCTGGAATTAGATAGTGGTGATCACTGCACAACTTTGTGAATATGATAAGAACCATTTTTAAAAGGTGAACATTATGGTATGTGAATTATATCTCAATAAAGCTGTTATTTAAAAATTATATGGTAAAAATGAGTTTTTGAAAAGGAATAAAAAAGATCAGAATTAGTGAGATATTTTTAAAAGTAAGAGTATTTTACTCTCTTTTTCATCATGAACAATGATGTTTCTTGAGGGGAGGGAAAAACCTCTTTTTTCTTTGAGTACAATTTATGGTACAAACTACAAGAGGAAATAAGTGGCCAACAAGATATCTGTTTCTCACTCCTTTTTTTCTCATTTGGTTAGTTCCTTCCTTCCTTCTATTCTTCCTGTCTTCCATCCTTCCTTCCTTTAATAAAACAAATTTTCTATATATCTATAACACATACCTACCATACTCTTGAGCTTTGAGTCTACTTTAGAATTCACAGATACCTCTTTAAAAAGAAAAAGAGGGAGGTAATCATTCAATAAAGAGTATATAAGAATATCAATATCACTTACCTATGGCATCTAAGCTCCAACGTGTCGTATCAGATTTAATTATACCATCTGCATTTTGAGCTTCCACTTCAATGGTGTAATTATCTGGATTTGTTATTCGTGGAGGGAAAAAAGAGCACGAAGCACGGTTTTCACTTGTAGAACTATTGGTTGTACAAATATCACTTTTTGTTCCATAAAGGCTTTGAAAGAAAAAGTGATTCAACATTAGTACAGAGGTTTGGAAAAAGCCGTACTTAATGTATTAGGCAGCATTTCTTAGTTTTACTCTGGGTTTCTCTTGAGAACTGTATAGTGCAGGACTTGGTTCCCCTCTCTAAATTCCTTCCTGCCCATCATGAAGTAAAAGTTACCTGCTTCCAGCCTGCCTGAGATGCTATGAACTATGGAGACCTCCTTAGAACCCTGTAAGCCCATCAAAAGCTACACTTGCAATGCATTTCCTATTGTCAAGAAATAACAAACAGGCTCCTGAAAATTCCAGATTCTAGCCTTCAAAATTTATTCTTAAAAAAAAAAATTAGGAGTTCTGGTGTTCTATTGTGCAGTAGGATGACTATGGTTAACAGTTAACTTTTGTATATTACATAATAGCTAGAGGAGAGTTTTTTGAATGTTTCACCACAAAGAAATAAGTGCATGAGGTGATGGTTACATTAACTACCCTAACCCAATTTATTATACAACATATATATGTATCAAAACATCAGATTGTACCCCATAAGCATGTACAATTACCATGTGTCAATTAAAATAGATTTTTAAAAATATTTTTAGAAAATATGTAAGAGGATTTGCTAAATAAATTATGGTAGATACATAAATAGAATTTAAAATGATGGTTTCTAATACAAGTATATTTATTGATATGGAAAGATGCCCATGCTCTATTGTTGGTGAAAAAAAGCAGGATGCATATCATGTAGAGAACAATCACAGTTATATAAATGTATGTAGATGTTTATGTAACTTTTCATAAAGCTGCCTGCAAATATCAACAAAATGTCAAGTTTTACCTTTGGTGATGGGATTTGGGGTGATCTTTTTTACATTCTTTACATTTTTCAGGATGAATTTTTTACTGTTGGTATATATTGTCTTCAGAAAACTCATTAAAACAGACAAATTAGGGCCAGCCCGGTGGCGCACTGGATAGTGCGCCGCTTGGGAAGCGCGGCGGCGCT